GAGGCTGAGGGGGCGAAGCAGGGGCGGGTGTTGGGCACTCGGTCTCTAAAAGGTTTGCCATCATTGGCTTAGGAAGTCTTTCAAGCTTAAAATGGAGTACTTTAACTTTACACTCAGACAGGTTTTCTGATTTCAAAAAAATAGAACCACCTTATTTTTTATTACCATTCTCCTCATTGGTCACTTTTAGCCAGGTCATCTAAATGCTATGACAGCAGAATTTTAGTAAAATCAGATGGCCCAATCATTTGCTCATCTTAGTCTAATGTAATGTCCACATTTTATTCATTCTTGACTATTTTAGTATTTTCTCACTTTTTAAAACTCCCTCATATTGTATTACTAATTTTTTCCTGGTTTTGGCCTTGGACCATAAATAACATTTTGATGATTTGATACTAAAAACACCCCCCACCCCCCAATTACCATGCCTTTTAAAATAAGGACTCACAAATTATTTTACCATAGCCAAAATACAAAAGTGACAAGTTAAAAATCTTATGGGGGCAGCAATATGTCAGTATAAGCTTGATTCTGTTTAAAAGCAGTTTTCTGCAAAAATTACACTAGTGTGAAGACACCATTCAAAATCAACCAATCAGATCAGCTTCACCTTTATCAATCTGTCTGGATCACTTCCAATCCAATAACATGGTAATCTGAACATTGCAATCATTGTAATATAGATACTTTTCTAAGAGCATGAGTTGTAGAGATTGATAAATCATAATTTCTTTAAACGTAACTTGGCACTGCGGTTATGTTTCCTATATTCCTCAGTGCTTCAAGAGCACATTCTAGTGCTGGTATTGACCCAAATTTTCCTCTTGTAGATCAAATTTGCAGATGCCATAAATTGGCCACCACCCAGGATGACAGAAGGAGATTGCAAAATCTGGAGAGGCTGGAGGACTGGGCTGAAATGAACAAAATACTCTTCAATAGTGAAAAATGTAGGCCATTATATTCGGGGAATAAAAATGCAGAGCACACATACACAATGGGAGATTCATGGCTTGGAAGAACCTCATCAAAAAGGGCTTGGGCATGGTAATTCAAAACAGGATGAACATGAGAAAGCTGTTACATACACCCAGGTAGGTCTGGGTACGTTAGAAAAAGCATTGTACCCAAGACACATGACATCCTTATTCTCCTCTACTCTGCAGTGGTAGGAACCCAATCCAACTACTGTGCACAAATCTGGGCATCACATTTCCAAGATATTGAGATGTTCAATGTTAAGAGGAAAACAATAAAAGTAACAATGCAAGAAATTGACTCTAGATTGCTTTAGGGAAGATGGTCCACTGCCACAAAAATCAAGACTAGGTAGAAGTTGCACTTCCAACTCTTATTTAAGTGTAAGGGGAAAATGCCTGAAAATAAGATTTGTACAATAATGGAATGGTCTGCCTATGGAGGCTGAGTTCTTAGTCAGACAGCCCTCTCTCAAGGATCTTGGAACTGCACACTGCAGAGACCTGGACTACAGGATCCTTCTCATCTCTTCCAAATCTGTCATGCTCTCAACAGGGAAACTTTGCTACCTCCAAGTTACTGATTTACAAAGGCAGCATTTACCCATTGTAAGGGATGTTGAAGTTATAATTCAGCAACATCTAAAGGATTCACAGCTTCCCCACTTCTGGCTTAGAACATTCTAATATTATTATCCTTCCTAAGATTTTTCCGAGATATTTAATGGACTAAATAGGGAACAGCCACCAATACCATAGCCATGTTATTTTTTTAAAAAGCCAGTAAATATACTGAGGTTTTCATTTGTAGAAGAAAATGTTGTTGAATAAAGCCTTGTCAGGAAATATAGAAAGAACTTGACATGAGACTAGATACCACTTATATAAGTATATTGAATATTTACTCGTATAACACAGCATTAGGTATATAACACACTATTATCTATACTGAGTGTTACTTGTTTTCTAACCAACTGAGATCCAGTTTGGTCTAGTGGTTAAGACACCAGGATGGAAACCAGGAGACTATGAGTGCTAGTCCTTGCTTGGGCATGAAAACATAAGGCTGTATGACTTTGAGCCATTCATTCTCTCTCAGCCCACATCAGGATCAAGTGACAAGCCAGCTGGTCAACTCTGTCATGACCAAATGCATCAATACCCAGTTGATGCAAAAATGGGGGGGGGGGGGG